GATGTTCAACACCAGAAGCTATTTACAGTCATCTTCAAAATCTCAAACCAACTGAATCCTATGCCTTTACTGATGGCTCTGTGCAGTTTGGCACTGGTAGAACAGGTTGTGCATGTGCAGTGTATAAAGGGAATGAAATGATCATGTCTAGTACAGAGAGATTGAACAACTGGGCAAGCACGACACAGACCGAGCTATTGGGCATTTATCTAGCCACTGAATACCTTAAGCTCAATGGTGGTGGAGTGATATTCTGTGACTAAAAGTGCTCTGCAGTCCTTAAATAACCCATCACAATGTGTGTCTGAAGTAGCTTGTAATATTAAATGGAATGGAATTTTTGCCAATAATAATCATTTTTGTGTACAATTAGTGTGGATCCCATCTCATGTTGGAGTTGGGAAACATGACTTTGTAGATCAATTGGCCAATGAGGCTTGCAGGAAAGAAAACACTGATTATGACTTTGGACTATCTAATGCAATTATTAGAAACATACAAATTAAAGAAATTACTTCGGATTTAGAAGAACTAAGAAATGCCCAGAGACCTGAAAGCTGAAGTATTAAAAGCTATGACAACTTTTGTAATAATTGGTATTTGTATGGTCAGCACAGTAACCGGACCAGGCAATGTGATGTAGTCGTTGTGGTAATTCGCCTTGACTATAGACACATCTGGCAGGTCAGTGAGGCTGAGCCACTACCAGAATACTCAGATTGTAAACTCTGTGATAAACCTTTAATGCATTCACTAGAACACTATATTGTTGAATGTGAAACCGTAAAGGACTTTAGACCTCCTGGCCTATTGTACCACCAACTGTGCAACTATTTCATTGACTCAGGTGTACTGGACGACATCCTAACAATTTATCCCAAATTTGCTTGTCCATTTTAAAGAATGAAGAACAAATTTATGTATTGTATTTTTAAGCTGCATCACTTATGAACCCATCCCTGCCCTTGTGTGGCAGTGCACAATAGACAGTTGTATTTACACATTGGTACATTGAAACGTGTATACAGTCTAATGTAGTTGACTGTAACCATGATATATATATGTGCTTCAGCCTACAGTTTAGACCAATTGTCTTGTGTATGACCCTCTGTCCTGTGTGACATTGAATACCACCATTGTCCACACTCTTATAAGACCTAATTGAATTCCTCAGATTAGGCAAGATTGTAATTAATTTTGTCAATAAAGATATTAATAATAATAATAATAGGCACTCTACGTCCTAGGTTAATGAAGCCAGGGATGTAGCTTATCATCCTTGGCTTCAAATGTGAGATCTGTAGGTCTTAAACTAAATCCATCACGCCTTCCAAATTCTCAGGTACTCTAGGTTCTAGGAGGAACAAATCATTCGGAAATTCATTGCTCAAGGCTACAGCAAGGCCTTAAGGCTTTCTTAAGACGCTGGGGTATACCGCATGCGGCTCCTCTACGACCTGGGGTAAAGGTTATCTTGAGATGATTTCGGGCTTTAGTGTCCCCGCGGCCCGTGTCCTCGAACAGGCCTCCACCCCCAGGAAGCAGCCCGTGACAGCTGACTAACACCCAGGTACCTATTTTTACTGCTAGGTAACAGGGGCATAGGGTGAAAGAAACTTTGCCCATTGTTTCTCGCCGGCGCCTGGGATCGAACCCAGGACCACAGGATCACAAGTCCAGTGTGCTGTCCGCTCGGACGACCGGCTCCCACCGACCTCCGACCGGGTGGTGGAGGCAGATTTCATACACAGTTTCAAAAGTAGATATTATTAACGGTTGAGAGGCAGGGCCAAAGAGACGAAGCTCAACCCCTCCGCAAGCACAACTAGATGAGTACTTATCATCCACGTCACTCAGTACTTAGTACCCCCACACTACTCCCAAAAGTATCACTTCGAGTGAGGCACAGTGTTCGGTCCTGCCTGACTGACTGTTCGAAATATATTTAAACCCAAAGATTCAAAGATTCACAAACACACAGACACCACATCAGTGAGAGAATCAGTGAGAGAATCAGTGAGAGAATGAATCAGTGAGAGAATCAGTGAGAGAATCCACCAGTGGAAGAGTATTTTTACGGGCTATTCATGCCCGTGACACATCTTTGTGTCTTTAATTGTCTTGGGTGGCTTAATCTGCATCAATCGGTAGAACATGCGGCGTGACAATGCCCTTGTCGCAGGTTCGAGTCCACCTCACAACTCTACTAGATTTTCTGGATCAAAGATTGTCATAAAAATCAACAGTCGACCGAGACCAGCGGAACGGGCGAAGAACAAAACATGAACAGAACATCTGCATCAGAACAGCGGAACATCTCGCTATTGTTCATGACACGGTAATGTCTGTTCATTACTTCTGTTACTGGTATCAGACAAGTACCAGATGTTACTGGTATCAGACAGGTACCGGAGACAGAGGGGACGGTGGTGACCTCTAGCTGCAGGAAGATAATGTCGAAATAATGCTAAATTCCATCATTTTTAGCTGAAAACACATACCATGAACTAACGTGGAAAAAAAGGGTCAAGATATTGCTTGATGTAGAGGATGCGAAGGAGTGGGAGTGACAGCTGAAGAAATATCAGTGGAAGTAGTGATGAAATTTTATAATAGTACTAGCAGTTCCTGTTGCACAGACAGCAGTAGCAACAGCAATAGCAACAGCAATAACAGCAGTATGCAAAGCAGCATTAGCAAAACAGCAGCAGCAGCAGGAACGTCACAGCTGTCTTAAATGTAACTTAGCTATAGCAGGCAGGCAGGCAGGCAGGCAGGCAGGCAGGCAGACAGGCAGACAGGCAGACAGGCAGGCAGACAGGCAGGCAGGCAGGCAGGCAGGCAGGCAGACAGGCAGACAGGCAGGCAGGCAGGCAGGCAGGTAGGCAGGCAGGCAGACAGGCAGGCATGCAGGCAGGCAGGCAGGCAGGCAGGCAGGCAGGCAGGCAGGCAGGCAGGCAGGCAGGCAGGCAGGCAGGCAGGCAGGTAGGCAGGCAGGCAGACAGGCAGGCATGCAGGCAGGCAGGCAGGCAGGCAGGCAGACAGACAGGCAGGCAGGCAGGCAGGCAGGCAGGCAGGCAGGCAAGCAAGCAGGCAGGTACCAAACAGGTACCTGGTACCTGTTTGGTACGGGTTTGGTACCCGTACCAAACAGCGCCTATTTACACCCATCCAAACTCATATACACGTCTAGCCTACGCTTGAAACAATCCACATATCCACTTCAGCCCGGTTGGGTCCGGCACTTCTTGAAGAAAACTGCCCAGTTGTTTTTTTTTCCTTGGAGACTTCACCCTTTTGTTCCGGCAATATTCCTTACGAACTGTTCACCAGTTCAAGTCCGTTTAATTACTGTTATGGTGTTCAGTGTGTTCAGCGCAGGGGGCAATGAACAGGCTCGCGGGACACCTGCATAATTGAACACACCTGTATTTGGAGAGTAAACAATACTGTGCCTGTCTTTCTGGGGGTACCAGTGCCACCCGCCTCATACCTGTACAGTGCCAGTGCCTATCTGTAATACAAGTGCCACCCGTCACATACCTGTACAGAGCCAGTGCCTGTCTCGGTGCTACATATGTGTCATTCACTACATACCTGTAACAAGAAAAAATTCACGTCAATGATCGCCATGATACAGTCAAAATTTGTGTATTTAAACCAAGGTTGACACAAGCCAAATTGGTTTACAGTCACGCACTCTGACGGGTGTCAGAGTGGGTGACTGTAACACACCTGTAACACACCTGTAACACACCTGTAACACTGGTCTTGACCTCCTGGATACAGTTCACGTGAATTCAGCATATATATTGTCACGTGAATCCCCCTGCATGTGGAACTGCCTTCACCTTCAATGCCTCTACACTGGAAGTATACATCTACACATCTACGGGATCACCATAGCCCGTGCTACTTAAAACACTTTGTTCTAGGTAGCAAATCTTTAACAACAACAACAACAACATACACATCTACATATATAAGTATATATCTACATATCTAAGTATACATCTACATATATATTTTTTGTAATATATGTCGTCTCATCTGGCTGAGTAATGTTACTCTGTTAATTCTCGCAATTACTGCCAAAAAGGTTTCTGAACCACTTCAAGAAACCCAGTTGAGTTGTGAAGGGGATCAGAAAACTTGGCATTCCTGATTGGGTACGAAAATTTCAGGAATATTAATGGTCTTTTTTTTTTCGTCAAATTCCCAAACATGTGTGGAAAAATCTCAGCATCTCGCTACCTGGAACACAAAGTTCCAAGTAGCACGGGCTATGGCGAGCCCGTAGTGGACTGTAGGATTCTGGCGTGGTTTGAATCTAAGTTCATAAAGACAGGATTGATTGTTTTTGCATCTTGGGAGAAACATCTTTGAATGGTCTCTGTAATTAATGATTGATTATCATGCCCCTGGAAACACAAACCGAAACTGTCTCTATTTTCCGCTTGTTACAACTTGTAATAAAGTTGTTATATCTTGGCTTAATGGGTTTATGACGTATTAGAACGTTGTTACAACTTGCTATATTGGTTGTTATAACTGATTAGGAGGTGTTAAAACTTGTTCGAACGTTGTACCAACGTCGTAGTTTCGGTGTGTGTTTGGCGGGCAATCCCTATGATAACTATGATAAAGAGATATCATAGGGATATAAACAGTTATCATAGAACTGAGGGATAAACAGTTATCATAGTTACATAACGTGACTATGATAACGAGAGCCTCAGCATTTACTTAAGTCAAAGAACAGCCTTCGTCTTTGGCATTCAATCTTAGAAACTACCATCAACTCCGGTCTTAAAGAAGTTGATGACAATCTCGATAACTAGAAACTTAAATAGGCAAATGCAGGTAGGCCTATTTTCCTTGAAATTAAAATTTTCCTTTCCTTTAAAATTGAGAGGAATTTTTAATGAATAGATTATTGCATAAGAGAAATGGTGAGGTGAGACTTCTCTCTCTCAGTGGCTCCATAAAATGTTTAAACAATGCATCAAATACATCACATACAGCAGACTCCAGCAACAGCACACTCCAGCAACAGCACACTCCAGCAACAGCACACTCCAGCAACAGCACACTCCAGCAACAGCACACTCCAGCAACAGCACACTCCAGCAACAGCACACTCCAGCAACAGCACACTCCAGCAACAGCAGACTCCAGCAACAGCACACTCCAGCAACAGCAGACTCCAGCAACAGCACACTCCAGCAACAGCACACTCCAGCAACAGCAGACTCCAGCAACAGCAGACTCCAGCAACAGCAGACTCCAGCAACAGCAGACTCCAGCAACAGCAGACTCCAGCAACAGCACACTCCAGCAACAGCAGACTCCAGCAACAGCACACTCCAGCAACAGCAGACTCCAGCAACAGCACACTCCAGCAACAGCAGACTCCAGCAACAGCACACTCCAGCAACAGCACACTCCAGCAACAGCAGAATGGCCGGTCGGCCGAGCGGACAGCACACTGGACTTGTGATCCTGTGGTCCTGGGTTCGATCCCAGGCGCCGGCGAGAAACAATGGGCAGAGTTTCTTTCACCCTATGCCCCTGTTACCTAGCAGTAAAATAGGTAAAATAGGGGACACTAAAAAGCCCCGAAATCATCTCAAGATAACCTCAAGATGGATGTGTGGTATATATATATATATATATATATATATATATATATATATATATATATATATATATATATATATATATATATATATATATATATATATATATATATATATATATATATATATATATATATATATATATATATATATATATATATATATATATATATATATATATATATATATATATATATACACACACATATTGATAAGTATTCACCCTGTCATAGGATAATATATATATTCTACGACAGGATCAATATGTGATGCTGTTATTAAAGATTCGCTACTTGGAACAATACGTTCCAAGTAGCACGGGCTATGGTGATCCCGTCAATACGTGATGCTGTCGGCATTGTTCACACTTATAATGCAATGCATCGAGCACTGGAGAGAGAGAGAGAGAGAGAGAGAGAGAGAGAGAGAGAGAGAGAGAGAGAGAGAGAGAGAGAGAGAGAGAGAGAGAGAGAGAGAGAGAGAGAGAGAGAGAGAGAGAGAGAGACAGAGAGAGAGAGAGAGACAGAGAGAGAGAGAGAGAGAGAGAGAAAAAGACTTGGACACAGAGTGAAATAAAGACTTGTTGCCCATAGCAACAGACAAGCCATCTCTCACAGGTTTAAGGTAAGAGAGAATAGTTTAGCGAGCGCAAACAAGCCATTGACAGAATTAACTGTTGTATGCAAGACAGAATATAGTGAGATTGTTGTTGTTGTTGTTAAAGCTTTAGCTACTCAGGACGCAGTGTCCATGTAGCACGGGCTATGGTGAGCCCGTAAACATATAGTGAGATGATAGATGGTGATCTTCAGATTTGTCATAATAGATTGAGAGCTGGTGGTCGTAATAGATCAAGTCCTGTTGGTCTTAAGGCCTGTGGGGGCATGGTCTTAAGTATTGTATTGTATTGGTGTCTGCTTGTGGGGGGGGGGGGGGAAGGCACTAATACAGCAGACACCAATACAGCAGACACCCATACAGCAGACACCCATACAGGCAGACACCCATACAGGCAGACACCAATACAGCAGACACCAATACAGCAGACACCCATACAGGCAGACACCAATACAGCAGACACCAATACAGCAGACACCAATACAGCAGACACCAATACAGCAGACACCCATACAGGCAGACACCAATACAGCAGACACCAGTACAGCAGACACCAATACAGCAGACACCAATACAGCAGACACCAACCAATACAAGCTCTCCAACTTATCCACCAGTTGATTAAGAGTTGAGAGGCGGGGCCCATGAGCCGTGGCCCATCCCTCGCAAACACTACTAGGTGAGTACTAGGTGATTACCCCCAGTACCAGCAGTCGCCAGGTGAGAAAATCCGTAGGAGCCGTGATGTGGATTCGAACTTATGCTTTGGTTGTTTCCAGGCGCACACACTGTTGATTGACGGTTGAGAGGCGGGATCAAAGAGCCAGAGCTCAACCCCCGCAAGCACAACTAGGTGAGTACACCTGCTAGACAACCAGTCCACGACATAGTCAAAAGGATCGCAACCTGAAGTCCTATTGAACACCCCGAGGGTTTCGTGTGACTGGGGGGGGGGGAAACACCCAGGGGAATAGGTTCGAATCCACATCACGGCTCCTACGGATTTTGGAGACTTGCATCATTCACTGTAGAGACAGTGAATGAGCTTAAGGTGGTGTCTGGTGGGACACGGCTCGTTCCCTCGCTCCTAAATAACGAATCACCTCGTTACAACAGCTGAGTCGTAGCGCCGCTGGTATTCACAGACCTGACTCATGAATGTGAGATTCCTGGTGGTGTCTGTTCCACGCCGGCGGTAGCGGAGTGGGCGACGCTCTCTGATGGATATTTCACGACTGGACCCCTCTTGATCTTCACACGCGCGCGCGCGCGCGCACACACACACAGGTCTGAGCGGCTAGCGCTCTGGAGTCATAGTCTCAACCCCCGAGTTGGATTCCCGATCGACGCAGGAGCAAATGGGAATTGTTTCTTTAACCTCATGCTCCTGTTCACCTTTCAGTAAATAGTCTCAAGGGCCCGAGTTGAGTTCCCGATCGAGGCAGGGGCAAATGGGAATTGTTTCTTTAACCTCATGCTCCTGTTCACCTTTCAGTAAACATATATCTGGAAAGTTAGACAGCTGCTACGGGTTGCATCCTGGGGATGGTGGGGGGTGTATGTGTAGGCTAGAAATATACCTTACACTTACTGGTGTTGAAATCCAGTAGCCATTTCTTGAACCATCTCTGCAGCTTGTGTAAGTCATCTTGGAGAATCTTACAGTCCTCATCTGTCTCATCTCTTCTCATTGTGTGCAAACTGGGACCGGGAGCCGGTCGGCAAAGCGGACAGCACGCTGGCTTGTGATCCTGTGGTCCTGGGTTCGATCCCAGGCGCCGGCGAGAAACAATGAAATTGTTTCATTGTTTCTCGCCGGCGAGAAACACCGGCGAGAAACTTTCACCCTATGCCCCTGTTACCTAGCAGTAAAATAGGTACCTGGGTGTTAGTCAGCTGTCACGCGCTGCTTCCTGGGGGTGGAGGCCTGGTCGAGGACCGGGCCGCGGGGACACTAAAAAAAGCCCCGAAATAATCTCAAGATAACCTCAAGATATCCTACTGTATCAAAGGCTCTGTGGCAGTCCAGAAATAAACAATGTACCCAACCTTCTTTGTCTTGCCTTATTATCGTTACTTTTGTCATAGACAAAAGTAACGATATCACATATATCGATATCAATATCGATATCGATAATCATGCCTGACAAACCTAGGTTTGTCAGGCATGATTTTTTGTTCTTCTCCTCAAGATATGCTGATGCTTAATTACGTACATATAATAATTATATATAATTATATATAACATAATACGTACATATAATTCTCTCTCTACATGTGCAACTAATCTTATCTATATTATACTTTGGAGTACTTTGCAGGTGGATGATACTGGTTGTTAGTGATACTGGTCAGCAGTTAAGTGCCTCTACTCTATTTCCTGTCTTGTAAACTGATGTTACATTTTCCTACAACTACGGGCTCACCATAGCCCGTGCTACTTGGAACTTTTTGTTCCAAGTAGCGGATCTTAAACAACAACATACATTTGCCTTCTTCCGGCAGCTGGGGCAATTCGCCTTTTGTAAGTGACTCATTATAGATCAATGCCAGAGGTACGCTTAGGGTCTGTGCTGCTTCTTTTAATGTTCACGATGATACATTCTCTGTTTCAACAGTTCGAGTTTCTTCTGTTGATTCTAGCCGTTGCATTACTTCCTCTGTTGCTACCTTAATATCAATCGTATAGGTGTTTGCCTTTCTATTGGAGACTTTCAGCGCCGTGGAGAGGGGGGGACCTGCTGCATGGGTAACAGCTTCTCCCCCCGAATCAACCTAGCTTTCCGCCCTGGTGAGGCCACTCCAGACCAGGCCGACGCCAGTGCGCAAGTCCATAGTCTCCTGAGACTGATGGATGCCTACTACTAGGCTTAACAACACTCCCTGTTAGCTGGCATTAAGTTCCTCGCCAATTTCAAGATCATTTCCTGTATATTCACCGATTTTTTTTCGAAATCTCGTCACTTGGTTGTCATTTTCCTGTCATTTTCCTTCCTTAGTTGTTTCTAATCTTTTAGAAGGAATATAGTTTTCACATTTTTTTTCCAGCAGTCTTCTTATGTATTCGTTCCTGGGACAGTTGCATCTATTTCGGTTTTCTTCTGTTCCTTATCTTCTGTGTTTCTCCTTTCTCTCCTGCTTTTCGTTCTTGCTTCTCGGTATTGTCTTTTGAACTGTTGGTTATTGTATTATCTCTTCCTCCTGTTTTCTCTTGTTGTTGATATGAATGTGTTTGGGTGTATACTCACCTAATTGTACTCACCTAGTTACGCTTGCGGCACTCGCCTAATTATTCTTGAAAGTCAGCTCCCTAAGCTGACCAACTACTTGGGAAGGACGGTAGAGCGACAGTCTCGCTTCATGCAGGTCAGCGTTCAATCCCCGACCGTCCAAGTGGTTGGGCACCATTCCTTCCCCCCCCCCCCGTCCCCGACCCAAGTCCTTATCCTGACCCCTTCCCAGTGCTATATAGTCGCAATAGCTTGGCGATGTCCCCCTGGTAATACCTGGTAAAGCTGCAAACTAAAATCACAACAATTTGCTGGATCAGCAGATACCGCGTGTAGCGTGAGGCCGCACAAGTGCCATAAGTACACACCACGGGTGGTGTGAGAAAGTATAAGTACCATAAAGTGCACTTATAAACCTATATGTTGACACCAAATGGTTCAAGACCTTCACCTTCCTGCCCTTATAATCAGAGACGTCTAGAGTGTCTCAAGGCTGTCTGCCAGAAACAACTCCATAGGATTCTTCAACCAGTGTCAGACCAACCAAGCAACATGCAGCGGCCCTCTAGCCTTGCGGACCCTAAGCAGCAACAGCCTAGCTGACCAAACAGTCGCCAGAACTAGACATATAAGAGTTCAAAAATAAATACTTGAAACCCTCGAACAGGGATATCATACAAAAAATACACACTTCCCATACAGCTACTGTATAAATGTATTAGAGCTGTATTATACCCCGGCCGGCTGCACACGTATATTTTACCGTATAGTTATCGTGTGATAACAACAGCAGCAATATTATAGGCGTATTAATTTGAGTGATCACATTCCAATCGTTTTCAAAATGAGCCTCGAAATCATTTAAACGCAAATGAATTCATATTGTGTATTTTTTTTATACATGAGTGTGATTGTGTGTGTGTGTGTGTGTGTGTGTGTGAGTGTGTGTGAGTGTGTGTGTGTGTGTGTGTGTGTGTGTGTGTGTGTGTGTGTGTGTGTGTGTGTGTGTGTGTGTGTGTGTGTGTGTGTGTGTGTGTGTGTGTGTGTGTGTGTGTGTGTGTGTGTGTGTGTGTGTGGGTGTGTGTGTGTGGGTGTGAGTGTGTGTGTGTGGGTGTGAGTGAGTGTGTGTGTGTGTGTGTGTGTGTGTGTGTGTGTGTGTGTGTGTGTGTGTGTGTGTGTGTGTGTGTGTGTGTGTGTGTGTGTGTGTGTGTGTGTGTGGGTGTGTGAGTGTGTGGGTGTGTGTGTGGGTGTGTGTGGGTGTGTGTGTGTGTGTGTGTGTGTGTGTGTGTGTGTGTGTGTGTGTGTGTGTGTGTGTGTGTGTGTGTGTGTGTGTGTGTGCACTCACCTATTTGTGCCTGCAGGATCGAACATTGACTTTTGGGTCCCGCCTTTCTAGCCATCGGTTGTTTACAGCAATGACTACTGTCTCATTCCCCTATCATATATAGTTTTAAAATTATGAATAGAGTTTGCTTCCACAGCCTGTTCCCCAAGTGCATTCCATTTTCCCACTACTCTCACGCTAAAAGAAAACTTCCTAACATCTCTGTGATTCATCTGAGTTTCCAGCTTCCACCCATGTCCCCTCGTTCTGTTAGTATTTCGTGTGAACATTTCTTCTATTTCCACTCTGTCAATTTCCCTGAGTATTTTATATGTTCCTATCATATCCCCCTATTTATTATTTTTTCTAGTGTCGTCAGGTTAGTTCCTTCAGGCGCTCTTCAAACCCTTCCCTTTTAACTCTGGGGACGAGCCTCGTCGCAAACTTCTGAATCTTTTCCAGTTTCCTTATGTGTTTCTTCAGGTGGGGACTTCACGATGGGGGCGGCATATTCTAAAACTGGCCTCACGTAGGCAGTATAAAGCGCCCTAAATGCCTCTTTACTTTTGGTTTGGTGAATGATGTTCTAACCTTTGCCAGTGTAGAGTACGCTGCTGTCGTTATCCTATTTATATGTGCCTCAGGAGTTAGATTAGGTGTCACATCCACCCCCAGGTCTCTTTCTCGAATCGTCACAGGTAGGCAGTTCCCCTTCATTGTGTACTGTCCCTTTGGTCTCCTATCACCTAGTCCCATGTACATAACTTTACATTTGCTCGCGTTGAACTCCAGTAGCCACTTCTCTGACCATCTTTAGAGATGGTCAGAGAAATATGTGAGATGGCAGTGGTTATTATACACGTGATCTCGCCTGCATATGTCAGTAACATACCCCTCTCATGATTGCAATCTGCAAGATATAGGTACCTGCAAGAAAGGTAGCACAGGCTATCTTGAGGTTATCTTGAGATGATTTCGGGGCTTTTTAGTGTCCCCGCGGCCCGGTCCTCGACCAGGCCTCCACCCCCAGGAAGCAGCCCGTGACAGCTGACTAACACCCAGGTACC